GTGAACATTGGGCTGTCTTGAAATTTCCTACATTTGATCAATTATCAATCACACTTAATCTCAGTCTCAAGCAAAGTCTCAGAACATGGCTAAAATATAGAAAAACTTTTTGTCAGAGTGTAATATACATGGCCTCTAGTCTAGTTTTCAATATGGTCTTCATTCCCATCTAAAGTTTCATTAGCCTAACCTTTATTATATGTATTCCTATTAGCATTTTTTCTTCTGAGTTGCAACTAGAACCATCCATCAAGCTTGGCTTATAGCATTCTAGGGATTCTCTAGCCAGCATCTCCAAACCTTTTCAAACTCCTGCAAATCAGTTCCAAAAGCTTCAAACCACATGGTAAGATACAGTCACAACAACCCCAGTTCTCATACCAATTTTCTGTATTAGTCATATTCTCATGGCTTACACAATATACCCCACGTGGCAAGTTAAATGAGTTTATTCTGGTTCACAGTTTTAGAAGTCTCAGTCCATGCATGTCACCTGCCTCCAAGGCAGAACAGCATGGCAGAGGGGAGCTGCTCACCTCCTGGCAGCCAGAAAGCAGAGAGAGAGGGGAGGAGCCAGGGTCAAAAATACTTCCTTGTAGGTCACACCACCAGTGATCAACCACCAACCAGGCCCACCTCCTAACATCACATTCAGTGGACTAATCCACTGCTAAGGTTAGTGCCCAATGATGCAATCACCCTTCAGAAACTTCAGCTCTAAACTTGTGAGACTTCTGGGAGGGACATCTGAGATCTAAACTATAACAATTCTTCACTTTATTAAAATTATGAGTAGGAAAGTCACCTGTATGTAAAGTGAACAGAAATCAAGTGTGGAACAACTGATGGCTTGACAAACTACATGTGTAAAGGAAGATTCTCCTTTCTTGGGCCACCATGGTTTTGTGAATTTTTTATGCTGTTAGCATTTTTGACAGTTTGTGGCTTTAACTGTCCAGCCCTTGCTTCCACTAAAGTGGGCTGTGTTCAATCAAAAGCAGTTACAACAAAACAAAACGACAAAAGGAATTGGCAGCACAGAGAAATGAAACAAAGGTATAGGGAAGAGGTGAAAGTAATTTTCCTTCAGAGAGTAATCCTCATGACCATTAGGCTTTTGTGTCACAAAACTATTACAGCTAGTATTATGAAATAAAATTTACATATTTTCAGAGATATATTATACATCTGAACTATTTTTAAAGTCTGGGAAGAAAAACTTTACTAAGAACATTATGGCATTTTATCTAGTACACAAAGCATTTCTGTTGAGTTTATGGATATAAACTCTGACTGTAAACTAGGACACTCCCACCTTGCTATATTCACATTACCACTAAGAGGATGCTACCTTACTGGCATCTCAACCACAAAGATGACAAGGTTACATTCAGGACAAAAGTTAATTTTACTTCTGACAAAAAACCCCCAGAGATTTCATTTAATAATGCAATGGGTTTAATCAACTCACTTTCCTAAAATAATATATATTTTAAAAGACTGGTTGTTTTTCATCATGAAGTTACCAAAATATTTCCAAGACATATTCCTGCAATATTTTCAGGAGAGAATGACAGACAGAAGGGCAGTGCTTGGAATGAGGATGAAGACTAGCCAAGGGCTGAGTTCAATGATATGATCTCTGCTTTGGATCACAGCCAAGCAAGGCTGCTTGGGAAGCTTCCTAGAAACTGCAAAAATCAGTCCCAGGCCTTCTGGAGAGCAATTAATAACTGGATTAAATAACATGTGTGAGTGTGGGGGGGTTATAGGAGGAGGGAAGAAGAATGAGAACTTAGTGGGCATGAGAATGGACAAGGTCCCTTGGTATAGTATTAGTCATCATCTTTAGTGACGTGATAGAAATGCTGCCCAGAAACTGTGTCATATTTTATCTGTTTTTGTTTTTTTCTGAATGGAGTAAGTGTAGGTTCAAAGTTTCACATTTCCTTTGTTTTTTAAGGGACATTGTTGGTATCCCATTTAGATCCTCTTAGGTCACTTTACTAGCTCTGTATGGAAGCCTACCTTCCAAAGGCTCTTCTGCTAATGTTTTGCGGATGCCACCTTGGTAGGTTAGTCCTTCATACTGCAGCTGGCTTGGAGTTTGTCTCTCACTACCCACATGGTAGAATTGCCAGATAAAATGCAGAACTCTCAGTTAAATTTGAATTTCAGATAATCAGTAATATTTAAGCATTAGGATGTCCCAAATAATGTATGGGATATACTTATATTTAAAAGTTATCTACCTCAAATATAAATTTATTTGGGCATCCTGTATCTTTATTTAAGTCTGAAAACCTGACCTGAGGGTATCCATAGTCAGTGTCTGACTAGTTTGGGAGTGTAATGTTCTGGGTCCTCCAAATGCACAAAGCTCAGGAACACAATGCACGCTCCAGTGTCCCCTGTGGGATCAGGCTGATGTCTTAGAGTCAGATCCCACCTGAGATAGTATCATTACTTAGCTTATTCCCCTTCTTTATTCTGCCTCTCCACCTGCCTTATTGATTTCTCTTGAAATTATCTGATTAACTAACTTGCTTAGACATCCTTGTCTGTTTCTGGGAGAGCACGACTTAGGATAGAGATGTAACAAATCATAGCATACAGACCACTCATCACAGCTCAGAAGGGATCTGGAGTCACTGCCTTGAATAGAATTCTGTTTATTAACTGACATTTACATTTACACTCTTTAAAAAAACTCTCTTTTGCGTCACTTGTCCAGTTTCTAGCAACCAGTGAATGGGCATTCGTCATGCTCTTCTGAGTGCTTATAAGGCTTTCCCTGACCCATTCATAATTTTTCCTGCTTTGAAACTACTGAAAAGAAATAAAGTCAATGAGACAACTGATAAAACATCATTTCCACTTTGATATGATGTTAGTTTTTAAAAGGAATTCCCAATCCCAGCTGCTCTAGGGAAAAAAACAATGTACCACAAAAAAATATGCATTGTAGAAAAGAAAGGAGAATAATTGCTAAGCTAGGTCATGTAACAGACTAAAGAAACTGTGATCTCACAATCTCTTTAGATGATGTGAGTTAAGGAAAGATGGGACACCCCCTGCCCCAACTGTCTAAGAAACCATTTTGGGATAATGGAAGGGATCACAGTGGCAGTCTGTTAATGCGTCATCATTGTGATAAACACACGTTCCAGGAAAAGGACATTTTGCTCTACTCATCTCCTGAGCATCTGTATTCCCTTCTAAATGGAAAAAACACTGTTCTTGGCATATTTAAGCTAAAAAACCTTAGTTTATTCTGGTTATCTGTAAACCATTTCAAGTACTTACAATTTAAAAGATAAACTTAGGGAACCTTTTTCAGTTTATAATAAGAATGAGAAACTCCTGTGTCAATACGTCTGTATATGGTGAAACATGTCCATATGGCTTTACAAATAAATGGTTATTTATACCTCACAGCAGAATAAGACACAAAGACTAAACACAAACAGATAGACTCTAAAATAGTATCAACTACTATGATACTGGGAAGCATGCCTCTTATTCTTGTTAAATAACTTTCAGATAAATAACTTAAAATGACATGATTTAATTTTGTTTGATGGGCCTGAAAGCTTTTTGATTTTTTTAGACAAAGAACTTTATCTTTCCTCTTTTTAGATATTATCTCTCTTAAATCCTAGCCTGAAGTGTAAGCCAAGATGGCTCAACAAAACAGTCTCTAGGAGGCTAAGCAAAAAGAGAAACATCGACTTAGTTTCACAGCATCTCTAAATAAGTTTGATCACTACTGTCTGAGAATCAGGAGTCTAATAATCAAAAATAAACACGAGATATTTGTAGAAAGTTTCTGTGTGACTCAGTATGGGGCTGCCATAAAGGAAGCCAAACAAAACTCTTTCAAGGGCAAAGGTAACCATGGCTTACTGTTTTTATCATAAAGGGAATATAACTGCATTGTTAAAAATTTGGGAACTACTGAATACTATGATGATCCTTTTTTTTTTTTTTGGTACCAGGGATCAAACTCGGGTCCTTGTGTTTGCTCAGCAGGCGGCAAAACCACTGAGCTAAATCCCCGGCCCTGATTTTCCTTTGATAGTGGATGGTAGATGATTTTTTTTTTCCTTCGTTATATTTTTTTCTGTACAGTTTTACAACAAGTAGCACTTTCTTGTAGGAATGATATAGGGAAAAATGAAACAGAAGTCACCGTGGGGGAAAAACCCTTTAATAATTAAAAGTGTCCCCTGAAATTCCCCTTGAAGAACCTACCAATGGAGAAAATAAAATCTGTCAGTTTTTCTGGCTGGCTTAGTGAAACTACTGAAGCCATGGCAAACAAAAAGGAGTTAACATTTGGACAAATCAATGGAACATGAGGTTAGATCTTTTTTCTCACCTTTGATAATACATTAATCATGAAAATAAGCCTTGAATCATGCTTCAACAGGATAGAGAAAAATCAAACCTGATTAGAAGTGACTATGCTCTTGGCTATCATTTCAGTTTCTCTTTACTTTTCCTGAAAAGTGATAGCTTTATGCATGGGAGATTCTCATCTGGTCCCTCTAAAAATCAGAGGAGGTGGAACTAGAAGAAAGTGGAATTTATGGAATATTCTTGGAAGCAATTCAAATGATAAAATTATTGATAGTTTTCAAAAGCTCTAAGGCATGGATATGATCCCTAGAGGTTTCTTTTCAGAAGCTTAAATGGAAAAAGATTAAGAAATTGGTGAAAAGTATGCATTTGACAAATACACCTCCATTCGAACTACAGCCTTGAGTTCCTTCAATCTCACACTTACAGATAACTCAGATGATTCTATCAGCTGTAATTCCAGAAGCAAGGTAGGTGATTTCCATTTGAAATAAAAAGTATCCTCCTTACCTTTCACCTTATGTGTTAAGATTTGTCCAAGTGGCAGTACTTGACAGATGCCTAGGAGCACTGTTTGGAAGGGAATATATCAAGCTCATCCTCAACCAGTCCCACTGCTCAATCTCAATGTCTCTTACCTTTCTGAACCAGCAGTTGACTTCAAATTCCAAAAATTTTGACCTTCTAAATCCAAGCTGTAGCTCCGCCCACTTTCAGCTTTTGGAGTTGTAATTTCTCCTCTGGTTGCTGATCTGAACTTACTAAGAAGAAATCTGAAATTACATATATATGTGCATTTAAAAGTAAGATAACTAAGAAACCATTCTAAAATATCATTTCAAGAATATAATTTTTGGTTCGGGGTATAGCTCTGTGGTAGAGCACATGCTTAACATACACAAGGCCTTGGGTTTTCTCCCCAACACTGCACACACACACACACACACACACACACACACACACACACACACACACCACAGGATGCAATTCCTAGTACTTTCAACAGTAAGCAACTCTTCCTCAAAGAAGCAATGGGGCTCATGGATTCTGATTCAAGTACTGATCCAGGATACTGAGTACCCCAAACATAGCTGTTTTCAAATACACTGTCATAATAAAGAGGGTGGGGTGGAGTGGAAGGGGAAAAAATAAATGAGATGTGTTATGTTCATGTACCAATTTCCCACAATGAATGCAATCATTATGTACTGCAAGCATGTACTAATACAAATTAAATTCAAAAAAACCAAAGCTATATTTTTGAGGGGATGGCATTGGGAGAGACTGGTTCATTTACTTTATATTCAACCGTTTTCTAGGGGAAAATGGATTACAAAAGTACTGGCAGAATCTTAACAGAATCTGCTAAGTTGTCTCTGCTTCCAAGAACCTTGGAAGAGTATCATTATCAAAGTGTCAGAAGTTTCAATCTACTGGAAAATTACATTTTTGGTGAGAATAGCACTTAATATAATGTCAGTCTCTGCTGTTCTGAGAACAACCTTGTGGAGAGATCCACCTCTGCAGATCTGCTTAAGGTGTCTGCTCTGTCAGGATCCATTTTTCTTCCCTTCCAATACCCTGAACCCCATCCATCGAGCTCTGTATCAAGTCCTACTTAAAATTTGATGTCTTTCTTGATGACCTTGGTGCCCTCCCAAGCATTTATTTTCTTACCACTCATTTAATACTTATTTATTTCCTTATGGCATCTCTTTTGATATATTAGCACCCTGCCTTGTTTAGAGAGGCTTTCAGTAGCTCATATTGCCATTTTATATTTTCCCACAATTCCTTTACACTTATTAACTTTTTGGTGTTAATATTTTCTCCCCAACAGGATATTATATTCACTAAAGACTGATAACAAGAGATGCCACTTTTGATTCCAGCGGGATTAGTTTTCTTATGCTATGACAGTTTGAACGATTCAGGATTTGTATAATTTATTGTGCTGGTGAGTTACTTATTGTCTCCCAGCTCCAAGCCCTACTTAGCTCAGTAACATACTCTGTGATGCCTGTGCTGGGGTCTGCAAAATATAGCTCCTAGTGGCACTTGTAAGCTAGGAGTTACTATTTAGTCAAGCCACTGATTGTTTTTGAAACAACACAAAAGCAAACAAACCACTACTCTAGCACTCAAAGAGCTGACAGTTAAGTATGGCTGTGCTTGTGTGTGGAGGATGTTACAGTGCAATGTGAGGAGTGATGCACAGGCAAAAGGCATTGTGGGAATCCTGAGAAGAAATAAATTGATTTAATGTGACAAGGAAGATCAATACCTATGATAGGATACTTGGAAGAGTCTAGATCTTATTTCCTATATATCTCTGCTAATTAATGAAGATGTATTTAGTCATGAGTGTTTGAGTGAGATGACATTTACATTTCATTCCCATAGTTCAGGACACTAAAAAAAGGCCCAGACTCTTTTTAGAGCCAGATTAGAAAACAAAGACAAAGTGTGGACCTACCGCTGAAGCAGAAGTTTACCTTTTGGTCCTTGGAGTATGCATTTGGGGGCAGTTCTTCTCCCTTGATGGAACCTATTTGTCCCCAGTTCTTCAGTACCCTCTTGCGTCTTGCTTGTGTATTGCCCATTGCTATTTTTAATATGTTACACATATATTTGCTTCCTGAATAAGGTTGAGGTGACCAAATACATTTTTTTTCCTTAAAGAATTCTTAATTTTAAACATAGAATATAATATTTTAAGCTCAAGTCATACATCTTTGATTTGGGGATTTCATATATCAGCATACAGGTTGGAGGGGAGGGGAATTGACATTCTACATCAAAACCAGTCATAGACAACAATGACCTTGAAATGAATCCCTCTATCTAATAGTAAAGGGAATCCCCTTGGTGCAAGAGCAGATTTGTCAAATGAAAGGAGATCTCTTACATGCACAGGTCAGCAGGGACCTTTATTTATCTAAGGCTGAAAGTAATTAAAACTGCACTTTCTGAGGAGAATGATAAAGTGTTTCCTCCATTGAGTTTCTGACTTCCTCTGGGTCACTAAAGTGAAATCAGACTTGAAAAACTAGTCTTTATTTCACAGGTGTCTGGAATAAAGACTAAAACTTCTCTTAGGCTGAGTCTTACCTTTTTCTCTTGGGAACATCATGGCTGGCCTTTTCCCCAACAGGAGGCGAAGTGTCTGATTTTTCTGCATCCTGGCAGGTTTGCTCCTGGCTTTGTACTTCTTCAGATCCTCATTAAAAATAATGAGAAGACAAATTTACATACACAATGGCCAGAAATGAAAGCAAATTTCTATTCTTCATTCCCTTTTCTAAATTAGCAGGGAATGAAACAATTGTAGTTTCTCAGGTACACAGTTATTTCTAATTTATTGAATGTTCCAGAGTTAACTAAGGAGTCAAACCAGGACTTCTAGGTAGGAGACTTGCTGGGATAAGCTTTCTAAGAAAGAGTGCAATGGAGAAATGAACACATTATCCCTCTACAGATATTTTTAGAGTGGGAAAGCCTGGAGATACTTTGACTTCAGAGCACATAAGCCAGGCTTCCTGAGAAAGTGGGCACCTAGGTACATATCTGGTGACTTGAGAGACAATTTTGAGCTTTGAGTGAAGAAACAGGCCTTAGCCTACTGCTTAATTCTTACTTTACTCCACTTCTCCTTTTGTAGCAACAGACCTCATGTTACTCATGTGTAACAGCCCTTCCTTGCAAGTGCCACACAGAAGTAGTATTAGAATCAAATTTAACCATCCTGGCCCTTCTTGCTAGACTTCACAACAAAGGCAGGAATCTCTCTTCTGTGAAAGATGAGATAGCCTAGAAACAGGATAAAACATGCTTGTTCTACCTTTACTACACTATACATGAGAAATATGCCCCCAAACACAAATTTCACTCAATGTTTAATCAAATAAATTGTAGTTTAAATGTACTGAAAAACATTCTCATTGTGAGTGTTATTTGCATTTGGTGTCAGCATAATTCTCCATTAACTAAAACTATGCATTTCAGGTCATTTAGCATCTGTGGTCCTGTCCACTAAGTGCTTTAAATCACTCTAGTCATTATGACAACAAGAAATGTTTCTTTGCATTTCCAAATGCTCCCATTTTGGGAATGGGGCATAGTGCACAATATCAATGATTAGTTGAGAATCAAGGATTGAAATTTGTAAAAGAAAACTTATTGAAAAATCAAGAATTTCTTTCACAATGTGAATCATTTAATTAATGTTTTTATGGTACTTAAACATTTACTGAAATACTAGAAGTGCACTCAGAAAAAGAACTGTGATGAAGATAAACGGCTTTTTTGAAAATCTCAGTGTGTCAGATATATGGAAAATCACTATAAATTTTATTTTCTGTTAACCTCTTCTTTCCTTGTATGAATTGCAGATTAAGATCTCATGCTACCAAGTTGTGAGATGACCAAAGGGATTCAGAAAATTCAATGTACTTATTTGCTACAAAACATGGGGGAATAATTTAGCCTGCCAAAATGAAGATTAGAAGAGTTTTGAAACCAAATAATTACCTGTACTTCTTCTTAAGATTGACTGTCGGACAACATCAGTGCCCAGAACATTGACTTGCTTGAAACGCTTTGCCTTTTCTTCATAAAACCATTCGCCAGTTATAATCTTTAGCTGCCTACTCAAAGGAAAAGGAGAGAGTATTGAAATTCAATTACTTAGCTGTATGATTAACTCTCAAAATTCCTAATTAGGTAAATAATAGCCAGTTTTTTATAGAGCTTATCTCTGAAGTATTTTATAATGATAATTATATTTACTATATATTACATAAATTTAACCAAATTTACTATATACTATCTGGTAGGTCACTGCTAACTGTTCTTCATACTTTGTCTACTTTATTTCACATACCAATCTTGTGTGAACATTATGATTTCCATTTTATGGATAAGGAAATTGAGACTTACAACAATAAAATGACAAGCCTCACATCACACAGCTGGCAAGTAATAGAGCCAGTACCCCATTCCAAGTAGTCTGGCCTAGGGTTCAAGTTCTCAGCCCCTGCCTTAGCAGGTAAATGGTCTTCAATGCAAGCAATCAGGAGCAATTGAGAGTTCCAAATGATAGAGGGGCTACAACAAGTGTCTGTTTTAGAAAAATTCCTTGATGTAACATGATCACTGAGTTGGAGTAGAGAATGAAACAGAGACTGGTTGACCATTGCAGTAGTCCAGGAGAAAGGGAATAGGACCCATGCTAGGGCAATGGTAAGACTAACAGAGAAGGAGACCAGTCTAAAATGGAGGTGACAGAAGTATCTGCCTAGATTTTGCAAGAAAGTAAATGTTAACTTTGAGAAAGGATCTTTGAATAGTCCTCTCCATCTTCTAAGCTACCTGCAATGGAAATCATTTTCCTCCCTCACTCTGGAAATGGCTATACTTTCTCTTTGTTTTTACTTCTCCTATGACCTATAGCAGTGATAGTGACTGAGAGTCCAGTGAAAAAATTGCAACCCCAAACCCACTTATTTATCACAAAGTGCCAACACTGCAATTAAACCTGAATACTGCTGTTTTAGTGTAGAAAAAACAACTTATACATTAACATCCTTTGTCTTAAAAGAAAAACAAATAACACGCATGCCATATGTTTGCTATCAATGACATACAGCATTTTAAACTTTATTTTAGACTTATCTCTGCCCAGACTCTCATATCGATTGGGTAGTAAACTCCTTGGGAACTGATCTCTGCCTGATTCATCTTTTTTCTCCTAATTTCTAGAAGGGCATTTTTCATAGACTATGCTCTCAAATAATATTTTTAAGTGAATGATCAAATACTCCTCCATCACTTTAACACATTACCTTTCTTTTATATCTTTACAATCTTCATTACTACCAGTGGCATGAGGGCAGAAGTCTTGCCTCTCTTGCTCACCATCTCTAGAAACAGTGCGTGGCACTGTGCTCAATAAGTATTTGTGGAATGACTTGCAATATGTAGAATTCAACCTATAATACCTGTACTTACAGTAAGGATTTTAGCAACCATAGAAGTCACTCAGTAGTCTAAATATATTTCTAATTAAAAATGAAGAAATGTTTTTAGTAAATAGGTCATGTCCTCAGAATGGAAAATAGACCTTTGTGATCGGGGTAAAGAGTTTGTGGAGGATGATAGTGGAAAATGAGGTTGAGAGATAGGTCTGGGGCAATGTAATGAACATCCTTGAATGCCATACAAAGGGGCTGGAATGTCACTCTGGAGGCAAGGGGGAACTGTGGCAGTTTTCCTGAAGATAATTGGATGATAAATCTCTATAGAAATACATGGAGAAGGGAGAAATCAGAAGAAAGAAGGCAAATTAGGAAGTTATTGAAATCGACAAGATAGAAAATGATGAAGATATAAATCAGGGTATCATGGGGATGAAGAGTAAAATAGATATAGATTCTTGGACCATTGAGGATGAGAATTAACAATTAATGATGTCTGCTATAGGGACTGAGAAAAAGCAACTATGAGTCAAATAGAAAAAAGCAAGTTATCTATAAAATACAGTTCCATACTTGAGAAAAAAATGAAAATGTTAACTTTGGAGAAGGTATTCATTGAAAGGTAAGAGCATGGTATTTCACCTCACATTATTTCCAGATGTCTAGGTTATCTATTGAGAAGCATAAACTTTTGCATGACCTAATTAACAATTTAAAATATACTTATAGACTGTGTGAAATCTAAGATCTAACTTACCAAAATCAAAAGCTTGAATAAGTTAAATTATTTAACTACAGAGATGGTGAGCAGAATGAAAGACATGATTAGAGACTCTAGAATAGAAACAGATAAAAAAAATAGATGAGTTCTGGACTATGATGGAAGCCATGAATGCCCAGCATAGGAAAGAAAGGGAAATCATGAACACCCAACATAGGAAAGAAATGGAATCCATGAAACAGATTCAAACAGATATCCAGAAGATTAAAAACTCTATTGAAAGTATTCACAGCAGACTGAGCCAATCTGAAGACAGAATATCAGATATAGAAGACAGGGTGGTGGTCAGTGGCCATGAAAGAGACATCTCTTAAAACTAGTAAGGAACCATGAGAAATCAATCCAACAGCTCCTAGATGATGTAAAGAAGAATAATATAAGACTGATAGGAGTCCATGAAAAAGCAGGAGAAAGTACAAATGACATAAAAAAGTTTGTAATAGCTAAAACCTGGAAACAGCCCAAATGCTCATCAACTGGAGACTGGATAAAGAAAATGTGGTTTTTTTATAAAATGGAGTA